TTTTTTAGGGGGGGGGGGGAATGAGCTTTCCAGACCTCAGAGGTGTCTCTTTTAATGACTTTTAAGTTGTTCAAAATTAAAGGTTTTCCCCCTCTTAAAAACGGTCAGGTAAACTTTCTTATTCTTATTACAGTAAATATTTATGTGTGTATATGTACATTAAAAAAATTGAGTTGCTTGCGTTGGTAGGCCTATTCGTTTTTGTATGAATGGATAACCCCAAAGAAAGGGGGGTCCGGGGGTCCTCCCCGGGAAAAATTTGATCACTAGATTGCAGGAAATGAGCTTTCCCGACTTCTGAGGTGTCGTCTTTTAATGACTTTTAAGTTCTTTAAATGTTTTCCTCCGCTTGAAAACGGTCAGGTAAACTTTTCATTCTTATTACTGTAAATACTAGTAGCCCTACTATGTGTGTATGTACAGTACGTAACAAAAATTGAGTCGCTGCATACATATTCTTTTTTCAATAAGTCGAGGAATCCCAAATAAAACGGGGGTCGGGGGTCCTCCCCGGGAAAATTTTTCTTCTTAGATGGCGAGAAATGAGTTTTCCCGACTTTTCCCGAAGTGCCTTTTAATCAAAATTCAAGGTTTTCCCCTTTTGTAAACGGCCAGGTATTTTTTTCTCCTTTTAATCAAAATTCAAGGTTTTCCCCTTTTGTAAACGGCCAGGTATTTTTTTCTCTTTCTTATTATAGTAAATAGTCATATGAGTGTACCGGTAGACAGACAATTATTATTATTATTATTATTATTATTATTATTATTATTTTTTATTTTTTTTGCGGGAGGGGGTCAGGACCCCTCACAGACTGGTATAAAACTTGTATATACTTTTAACATTAAAAAAAATAAAATCATATTTAGAAACAATGTTTTTTTTTTCTATTCTATCTTTAAGTTACATATAATCTTTAATTAAAAAAAGTATTATCATAAACAATATGTTTAATTACAATTTGTTTTGTGTTCCAAAAATCCGGCCCGAATTCACCAAACGGTGCGAAATCGCTGAAAATCAGCCCTTTTTTGAGCAGTTTTTTAAACATATCTGCGTTAATATTAGGCCGATTTTTTTGGCTGTTTTTGCAACGTGTTCCTTATTTATTCAGCTATAATGTCATGTATTTATCCCTGGACATTTTTTCCCGACACTGTTGCCCCCCCCCCCAAGACAATTTCACCTAAACATTTTTCCTCCCCCGTTATAAAACACAAATGTAATACTAGGAATACATCAAGATTTATATCATTTCTTTTATTAAATTAACAGCACAAGTAAAAACAATGGTGAAATGGTAATATTTAAGTAACAACAACAAACATTAAAAAAGGGATAACATACATTAAGCCATTAAGTTTATTTTTATTGTTATTAATATATTGGATCAATATTTGACAGGGGTAGTCTACTAACTTGGAGTGGAGTTGAATACCTCAGTGGTGAAGATGCTTGCCTTTTGACCAGGATTCTGGGTTCAATTTCTGTCACAGCAGGAATTTTTTCTCACGACTAAAAACGACTCCACTCCCTATGCCTCATAAAGTGACTTAGTTTATAAAGCATCATTTCATCTTATAAGTGGCAAGTGTACTTGATGTTGGATGTGAAGGAAATAAAAAAAAAAAAAACAAAGCAAAAACTAAACTAAATTCAAGTGTTCAACAAATAATACAACATTAGGTACTTTATGAAAACTGTTTACTTTTTCATTTTGTGATTTTTGCCACAGAAAGTGTCATGATGCAGGGGACCATCCCCCAATCACCCCGATGCAGTCAGCAAGTGAGAGTGAGATAGGAGGTGAGCCATGGCGTCTGTATGATTATATCATAAGACATTTCATTGCTACTGTGAGTATGTTTTGTTTATATTTATGTTCATTTAACTTCAGAATATTATCAACTTTTCATCAACATTTTATGTTCATCACCATTTTTGTAAATCTGTGAATAGTAAATTTTAATTAACTGTATAACATTTAATTTGGTATAAGATTTTGGTGATGTTATTGTTGTTTATTATTTGTCATATGATTCGTAGATGACCACATACATCTAATATACTGTTATACAGTTCATTTAGTGTGTGGTGTGGCTCTGGCTGATAAGTCCAATACTTGATTTAAAAATATTCCTTGCAATCAGGACAGTGGTGTTTGATGCTCATACACTGGATTGCAGAACATTCGTTTCTTGCAAATTGGTTATTTTCTGCCTTTGATTACAATTGCAAATCTTGATTTATAAATTCTAATTAGAGTATACATCTTGTAATGTACATAGGGTTTCATAATGCAGAGTGCAATATAATTACCATATAATTCATTATGTTATTGTTTTTATTATTGTAATTCCACTGTATCTTTCTGCTATTTCATGTAGAAGGGCAGCAGATGCAATGAGTGTACCCATCCAACCTGCCAGCACTCCCTCTCAAAGAGAGGGGTTGCTAAGTGCGGGGAGTGTGAGTACGGGATTCTGGCCCTTGATGTCAACTCAGCCCAAATGGAAGATGGTGTGTAACAGGTACTCATGAATTCCTCCATCTGTATCTTCTAAGGGATCTATTTGGGCCTTTCCTATCTAGTATCAGTTGGGATTCGGGGTTTGGTCAAACCCCCTTTTCCACCAGTTTACTACTTTAGTTGTATTTTATTGTAACTCTGTTTAAGAAACGTACACTTCTGAGTTAAATATTGCCTGTAGGAAACTCCAATTCCCTTGAACCTGCTTACGGGCATGAGTATAGTTTTAACTATCACATATGAGATGTCAGATGTAGGGTAAAAGAGCCATTTGTGTTTGTCTTTTTGTAGGCAGTGGTAAATATTTTATTTAAAATTGTATATGTATCAAAAATATTTATAAGTGGGGGTGGGGTGAAGAATGGCATAAATTTTCATGTGTTACAGCATCATGTATTCAATGACCGAGGGTAAAATAAGGGCTTACAGCTGTTTAATATGTGATACCAATAACTCTATCACAATACCAGATGGGCTGTATGCTTGTCATTTACAAAGTTTGTCTATTTCGTGAATACTAGCCTGGATAAACGGATAAATGCATATGTTTTAGTTCAAACTTACCTCTTGGCCATAAAAGAAAATAATGGAACTGCCGTAGTTCGTCTATATATGTCCTACATGAATGAACAACTTGCTTGTTTCTCCTAGCCTTTATCAGATCCTGGTGAAGGAGGTGATAGGGCATTAATTTATCCAGGTATCTCAATCATAGACTCTTACAACATAACTGGTGATTTGTTTAATTTAACCCATTAACCTGGTATTTTTGTTTCTTTAAGGTGCTCTTTCATGGTTCGACTATTCACCGATGCGCACAAGATAGCATTAGTTGCTGATAGTCGCTGTGAGGGCTGTAATGCTGCAATAATGTCTGTAGAATTTAACAAGGTGTGATATTGCCCTAGTGCTATTTTAATTATTACTTGTATAGTAATTATTTAATATTGTCATTATTGTGTGTTATAAATACTGGAACTAAACATCTGATTATATACAATTATTAGAATTAAATTGCAAATAAAAAATGTAAATATCATCAACCTTCTTAATATAATCATATATTATAATTCCCGAAGTCACTAAATCAAAATGCTAATAACAAAGGCTCTCTATTATTTAATTTTCTTAATTTTGTTTCCTTTTCAGGTCAAGACTCCACTAGGAAAAGAGACACACCACTCAGGCTGTGCCTTCTGTGACCCTATCTTCTCCTCTCATTAAAACATTCCACCAAGCAGCGAGACCTGTTAGTTCCACATGTGGAAGAGGAGGGACGCGAGGGGGAGGAGGAGAAAGAGGAGGAGTCAGTGGCAGGGGAAGACGGGGTAGGGGAAGAGGAAGAGGAGGAAGGGATAAGCTTGATTTTTAATTGATTAGAATAATATGAAAACTAGTTTAAAAGAAGTATTTTTTTACATAATTTAAAGCATTGTGAAAATCTATTTTAAAGTTAGCAATCTGCATTGTGCTATGTGCTACATGATCCTTCCATCCATCCCTGTTGGCTCCCCATGTTCTGGTTGTTCCCCATGATATCCACCCAGGGCTACAAATAAAATTCTGCTTTTTAAAATTCTACATTTGGTTTCAATCCAATGACTCTTTTGAAGCTAAGTGTTGCAGATTTTTTTTTAATTTGAAAGTGTATATTTTACAACTATAACACAAATTTCCCTATCCCTAATGTACTAATAATCTATTAGCAATTTTCACTGTCTTTTAATTATTCATAATAATAAGTGGGATTTGTATAACATCTTGATTAGTTCCTATGTATATTCTATGCTATATGAATGAATACATAGTGTTGGTAGACAACATTGCATTCTCTATTAAGAAATATAAAAAAAATTAATTATGTATTTCATAATCATGTTGTATGTAATAGGTATATGCGTGTGTGTGAACGTTAAGTATGCACGCTGCTCTAAGATCGTAAACTAGCAAACTTGAAAACTGTAAAACATATTCACTCTTCTCAAGTTGTAAAATGTACTTCTGTGAATCGTGAAGCATTTCCGAGAGTCGCACCAAATGATGAATCTGAACTTGGGGTCTTACACAGGGTCGGCTTGTACTTAAATGTACAGTAGTACTATATAGTATTCAGATATTAAATTTATATTTGCAGCATAGGAACTTTGACCCAACAGTGAGTTATAACTACTGTAATTGATTATAGGATGAATGTAATATACATTCTCATTAATCTCCAATGTTTTATATGAAATTAAACCATTTTTCAAAAGTATTAGCTTTGTTGCCAAGGTCTGTACAGTACTCGTATTATACAGTATATGCTATTCTATATTTACGTTGTGTTCATGCTTTATCAGTTGAGTGATGAGTATGGTGGATAAAATTAGAGTTTAAACTCTCTGCAACATATGCTTGAATCAGTGAAGGGGCCAGAGATTCCCTGACACGGGGGTCAGATGGTGCACACCCACCTCAGCCCCACTAAGATGCAATGATGTGACAGAGAGACACGCTACTCAGTATAGAGTCATTTTCTATTCGCAAAAACTAATCCGACAATTCTGTGACCCTGGTCATCTTTTGCCGAGTATGCTGAAAATATACTGCGAACCATGCGTGTGTGACCATTGTCATGCACTATGTAAATGGGTGGCATTGTGCTACATACATTTGTCGCTATTGGTGTGGCAATGTTGCACAATGTGAAAAATAGGTTTTTACGCAGATTGAATGATAGCGAATTGACAAGGATCACTGAAGTAGGTTTGTAACACTAGGCCTAATGTGTACCGAAATAAGATGAACAGAAACACAAAGGAAATTATTGCCTAACATTTTTATTTGGCTGCGAAAATGAGGCACAAATTGTTACAATATAAAATTGATGAAATATACTTGAGATGGGCTTGCGAGAAAGTATTTTATAAAGGATTTAAAAGCGAGGGGTGGGGGGGGGGTGTGGTTGTAGAGCCCACTAATGTAAAAATAACTACAAATGTCAAAACATTCTACCCGCAAATGTCAAAATATCCGCAAATGTCATAACATGTCAACCACAAATGTAAAAATAACCACAACTGTAAAAAAAAATCGCCCACAAATGTAAAAATCTGTTTAACCACAAACGTAGAAACATTTCACCTACAAATGTAAAAATTTCCATTTTTACCTCTAATGTCATAACATATGTCAACTGCGGCAAATGTAAAAATTTTCCTAAGCACCTAAATCCTTAAATATTGAAAACCCTAATTAGCTACTGTAGTAGAGCAGCTAGTTGCGCATTTTAGTAGAGCAGTTAAGGGCCAAGTTGTACAATTTACAGTATTACCAAAGCATGAAACTTGTTACAAAATATCTTTATTATGTGTAAATTAAAAAAAAAAAGTTTTGCTCCAAGTTACTGACACCTGCTATGGCCGCCATTTTAAATTTAAAATGACCGCCTCTAAAAGACGGAATCCATATTATCTTGGCAACGGAAAATCGTATAGACTTAATTTTGCTCTAATGTAGGACTTTGTCCAAAAGTGTTCGAAAATGGCGTTTGTTTACCTTTGAGCCTAACATGGCCCAGCATATCCATATCTCCAAAACTGCATGTTAGTCATGATCTAGTTTTGGCCTCAAAGTGTTCAGAACATGCATGTTTCTATTTGCTCTAATGTAACATTTTCCCCAAAAGTGACCGGAAATGGCATTTCTTACCTTTTAGACCCTAGATACCCAGCATATCCATATCTCAAAAAACGGTTGGCCATAGAAACCTGATTTTGGCTTCAAATTTTTGAGAACATGCATGTTCCTATTATGCAACATGTTGACCAGAAATGAAGTTTATGACTTTTTGACCTTAGGTACCCTGTAGGATATTTATATCTCCATAACCATTGGTCAAGTTTAACCTCAATTTGTTCGGAACATATATATTGTCAAAATGTGACTGGAAATGACATTTTTGACCTTTGAACTCTGATAACCAGAATGTAGATCAGAACATACTGTACATGTTTCTATATGTATTTGTCTTGTGAATATAAATGATAATTTGGACCTTATATCCACATCTTCCCAAATTTAGAGATTTCATTATGGTCTGAAATGCCAGAATAAGCATCTGTTTACTTTCAATGTAAATGTTGTCGACAAAATGCCGAAAGTGCTTGATTTGGTCTCTGGCCCTAGTGTTTGTTTTATTAAAAGAAAAAAAAAGAGTGTTTCATCATCTACATAGGATACTCTTGCGACTCTAATAATAATAGTAATAAGAAGAACTTGTAGACTAAAAGCGCATAGGCCTAACAGTGCACGAAAAACTCCTTTTTTGTTTCACATTATATAATGAATAAAATATTTAGATAAACAAATACACACACACACACACACACAAGAAAACACGAAGAAATGGCACAAAAAATGAATATGCGGGATCAGCCACAAGCAGGGCGCTCTTTGGAAGAGCTGAGGGCTGTATTTATGAGATGAAGAGGAGAGGATAATAAAAGATGGCGGATGGAAACACATATGTGTCTGTCTCTGTGTGTGATCTTTCACTGTGTATGGATGTCGATTATTGATCCCGGTCCTGGCAGAATCGCCACAACACTGTATATCGAATCTCTGAGGGGTCACCGTCACCACCCTAACCCAACGCAGGACCCTATCTAGGTGACTCGAGTAAAGGAATGTGAAACACCTTCAAGGGTGCAGCCTCAGTTCTGGTGCTTCACTAACAGGCCTATTTGCATTACTCGAAATTAATGAAACACATATGAAACAATTATTGTAGGTATTTTAATTTGAAGGGATGAAGCCAAATTATATCACAGAACTTTTCTAGTCCCCGGCTTCCATTCATGATGGGCCACTTCGTTCTCATTAGTCCTAATGTAATTAATCACTCTCGAATTGTTCCACTGCCTATATTATGGCTGTTTAGAAAAAGAAAAGAAAAATAAAACCTCCCCAGACGTCATATTAGACCATTGGATACGTATTCACTACACAAACTCAGACCCCCAACTAGATAAATGAAAACTGTCAGATAATAATACGTTTATTAGTACTCGTATGCTATATTTATGTGATTCCTGAATAAACAAACAAAATATTTATAAAATAGTAAAATATAGTCACAGAGCCAGGCTAGACCTACTGAGAATATTTCGGTTCTTTGCAGTGAAGTAAATCTAAAACGTATTCACGAAATCATTCAAAATCGTGTACAAAATAGTTGAACAAACTTTAAAGTATGTCCCAAAAGTATTTGTAGTGCAATTGTACTGTGGTACGAAGCGTACGTAAGTTACCTAAATAAAGGAAATAGCCTTGAATTAATTCAAAGACTAGTAAAAGTGTTCCATGACTTGGAAAAGATTTGGTAAACAATCATCTTGCCTTCTGGCAGTGAAGCGATCAGAAATGATTTGTAGATTGCGGTTGAGTACATGAAACTAGTCGTAGTTATTAAAACTTTAAAAAAATATTGACGCCGGTATTGACGCCAATCAATCATCGGCACTATTTTCAGCGATGTAGAACTCATAGTATTGATGAAGTATGTTTACAACAGTATTCAAATCGTGTACAAAATATTTAAACAATTAATCAAACAATATCATGCGTGCCGACATTACAATTGCTTTTGAAATACCTTTCAAAGGTAATTTTGTAGATCATGGCACCAGAGTACGGATTATATTTCGTAGGCCTATATACCTGAATGAGGAAAATAACCTTGAATTCAAAAGATACGAAACAGTTCATGTCTTGAAATTCATCAGAACATTGAAAATGCAATAATCAGTACATGGATGCTTCAGCTTTATAAAGGTATAACCAATTTCCCCGGGGTATCACTAATTAACCCCCGGGACTATCGACTTAAAAATAGAAAATTTCTACTCCTCAACCTATTTCCAACAACCGTAGAAAATGTCATCGCAATTATAGCTCAATGAGAACTGTTGTTGCTATGGAGTTTCCTTGTTTCCTGCTGTGATTTTTCTTTAATTCTTTCAGTACTTTTTTCTCAGAACTATATAGGTCAGTTTATAGAGAATAATTATAATTCCAACTAGCTTAACTTTACTTATTGTCCGATTGAGATCATTGAGCCCTCATTATAAGGTTAATAATATGCACTATTCATTTACATTAAAAACCATTTTGATAGAGTACGAGTTTACAGCCCTTTGTGGTCTTTTCGTCACAATTGTCTGATATAACTTGAAACCTCAGTGTGAATACTTTGTATTGTAGAAATACTCAAATAAAAAATAAAAACAAAAAGATTTGCATTCCAGATTTCGTGGCTCAGGAGCCATAAAAACGTCTGTCAAACATCCATGGTCTTTGGAAGGAAACATCATTTAATATCTAGTTATGGTTAAAGGCATTCCACTTTCAGCTGGAAACCATCCCAGGATTTCTGGGATGTGGTTATGGCTAACAACATGTCTATAATGAAGTATGGCCAACTAACATATGTACTGAATAAATAACTTGAAATAAACTGTTTTATTCAAATAAATGTTTCTCAAAAGAGTTATAAGAATAAATGTAATTTGATATTTTTGTTTATTATGCAGTCATAATATAATAATGAAAAAGCAAAAAAAAAATTAATTACATGTTATTAGTCTCCACCTTACCAACCAATACAAGGTATTACAGCTGCAGGCTTATCATATAGATTAGGCCCCATAAAAAATATTAGTTCATCACCCTATCAAATAATAAACACTGATGAGGGAGGGAGGTGTTTTTTTTTGTTGCTAACCCTGCCCCAACTTTACCGATGTTCACAAGTAAATCAAAGGTTAAGGACAAATATATAAAAAGTCGTAAGCATGGAATCAAATTTGTATTAAAAAAAGATGTGTTTGTTGTACCAGTAAACATATTTGCAAGAAATCCTGAGCTGTTCAAGTAATTTCCGCAAAAGTGAGTGAGGGAGGGGGTGATAAACTAATAATTTTATGGGGCCTTATAGAAGAAACATTTCTTGTGTTAATATAAAACAAAAATAATATTAAAGGTCAGATATTGTTTAATGTTTATGACCAACTAACATATGTACATATTTAATCTACTACTATTTAGTTACCGTTATACTGTATAAACGTCGAAGTTCCATATATGAGCTCCATCACATTCAAACGGTTATCTAGTCAAGAATAACAAGGATAACTTGTATACAAGGATCATGATGATCCTTGTACAAGTAACAAGCATTTACTCCAACCCGGTTACTGCTCCTCTTTACTTTCTTATCTCTTTCCCGGCTTCACATTAACATAGCCTGTTTCTTCTTCTCTAAGTTATCTTGGTAAGTTTGGTTCTGACTGCCTGCAGTTGGCCTAACTGCCACGTAGTCCATGTAAGTCTGTATCGAGATATGAAACGCAATCAATGCAATTTAAGTCATTAAAGATTGAGACAAATATCTATTTACCGTACTCGCGCGAATAAGCACCCCGTTTGAATAAGCGCCCCTCCTAACGTGAAAATGTCCTTAAGCGCCCCGTTTGAATAAGCGTAATATCATAAGATTTTTTTTTTGGAAGTCAATAATGCAATCAATTCTTGGACTGTGGTTTTGGCATGATTTGAGCTGCAGAGTGGAATAACATTCTTCTTAGGTGAATATCAAAATGAGGATATTTCTCTCGGACAGATGAGTGCTCCGATCCCTACACAGACAGATATTTCCAACTTTCCTCTTACATATTTGTCAGCTGATGGCCAACAAGCTAACCACTACCCACCACCACTAATTGCATCTGCTATTTTGCTGTAAATAGCAGATAAAATGTAAATATTCACAGCATTCTTGTCATGAGCCATGTTCTCTGGACGATTACCTTTTCCGCCTAACCACCATTCGTAATGTCCTTATATAATCTTTTTCATTTAAAAAGTGCCTCTTGAATTTAATAAGTTCCCATAAGAACCCCTCGATTTTCATCTATTTCCATATTTAAACTATTATTTAATATTTAAATTTCCACTCTGTTTTCATAAGCGCCCACCACTAATTGCATCTGCTATTTTGCTGTAAATAGCAGATAAAATGTAAATATTCACAGCATTCTTGTCATGAGCCATGTTCTCTGGACGATTACTTTTTCCGCCTAACCACCATTCGTAATGTCCTTATAATAATATTTTTCATTTAAAAAGTGCCTCTTGAATTTAATAAGTTCCCCTCGATTTTCATCTATTTCCATATTTAAACTATTATTTAATATTTAATATTTAAATTTCTACTCTGTTTTCATAAGCGCCCCTCAGAAAATGCAAAAAATTTAAGCGCCCGGGCGCTTATTCGCGCGAGTACGGTAATCTATTATCACTCTGTATAAAACTGTACATTTTACAAGTTTCAATACATTTTAATAATCGGTAGAATTCAAGTTCAAGTTCGAGTTATCTTTATTGTGTTCAATACAACATAAACAGTTTTAAAACAAAATTGGTTGCTGGAAATGGGATAAACTGTATAAAAAAAGGGTATAAAAAGTATACAATATAGTATAAAAACCGGCGCGATAGCATGTTACTGATTGCGGGAAGGAGTAGTTAAGGTCATAGAAACTTGACTACATTCATGGACCTATTAATAATAGGGCCATGATAATATCCACCTGAATCATTTGACAGCATAATAGGTCTATTTACAGATATATTGATTTGTGCATGTGGTACGAAGTGGAAAAGTGACAAAGATGAGGTGAAGTAAAATAATAAAAGCTTACATGTGGCATTTTCTTGTCCGTACTTCCCTTGTCTACTTGTGCCTTCTGAATTGAAATATAAATAATCATTTATACAAATTTACAGTCATATTTCTTTCTGTCGTTCAATTTTTTTTCTGCCTTTAGTATTGTTAATGTTGCCAACACATATTATTATTTGTTTATTAAACTTTTCACTAAACAGCCGCCAAAGCCCGCTACTTACATAATGAAATTTAAAACTACCTTAAACACAATGAAAATAACAAGAAAATTAAATAACAGAAGTTTGCTTTGTACTTTTGAAAGACCATTTGTTATTTTCTTAAATATTAAATTCGAGTGGGGGTTTTAAAAAATTCATTTTTATTCAAGAGTCACTTTCTCAGCCATCACACTGAATTTGCATGACACATTTGTACCATATATTTAATATGTAAAAATGAATTTTTACGCAATTTTATGTATTTTTAATATCTTGACTTATATTTTGTATCATTGTTTTTTCTCTATGCGACCCTGTTATTGCTGTTTGACACACTGTTTGTTGGGTCATGAATAAATAAATAAAAATGAAAAATAAACAAACTTGCTTAATTTATTCGGGAATATTTGGCAGAACAGAAATGGGAGGGGGTGTTATGTATTATTGTGTTAAAATCACACTATTAAATATAACAAAACAAATTTTGTATCTGACAAACCTGTTTAATTTTCTTGTAGCTGATAAATCCTACAATTAGGCCTACTCCAAAGGTCCCAACAATCATGCCCACAAAGAATATACCAATTGTCAAACTTGTGCTATTAGAAGAGGCTGGAAGGAAAGAAAATATAACAATTTGTCATAAATCTTCAATCATAATTTGCGGTTTGGCGCAGCGGTTGCGTTTCTTCTCAACCTTTAAGGTTGGAGGTTCTCGTTGCGAATTTCGGTCACTACGGCTGTCTCTCCACCCAGGGGTGAAAGTAAGTGTATGTTCAAACACAAAATAAGCTGATTACAGCTCTGTATATGTGTTGTACGCTTAATCCCATGCCGATATATGAAGGATAACATATTCTTTTATTATAGTGTTGAATAAGAATACGCAAGTTATAACAGCACTCATTACAACGATGAGGTGAAATAGAATAATAAAAGCTTACATGTTGCATTCTCTTGTCCGTACTTCCCTTGTCTATTTGTGCCTTCTGAATTAAAATATAAATAATCATTTATGTCGGTCAAAAGGCCTATAATGTTCAGTGGCGTATCTAGGGGGTGCGCGAGGGGAGGGGGCGCACGCACCTCCAAAAATTACTAGTTTAGTCTTCCGTAGTGGAAAGATACTTTTATTCATAAGGGTTACAAATAATAGACCTTTCCGGAGTGTCAATCAAACTTAACAACTGACTAATCAGAACAGCGCTAGGAATACGCGCGCGTCTTACAAACACACGTGTTGTCCCACAAACGCACGTGTTCGCGTATGTTTTAACACTGCCGTCTTGTGAGATCTTAGCAACAATATCCAAGGGGCGGAGCTTAGCGGAAAGGTCCATTATTCTGAGTAATGTAGGCCAACATTATAATCAACGGGATTTGATTGGACATTGTTTGATTGAAACTCCGGAAAGGCCCTCTGTACAAGTATATATGTTCTCAAGGTGTCTTGTACAATTTAATATTCTCAATGTGTCCTTTTTTTAGCTTACTGTTTGTTCATAGCTTATGAGCAAGGTGAACTGCTGGATATGGATGTAACTATCTAGTCTTCCATAGTGGAAAGATATTCATATTCATAAGGTTGACAAATAATTATTCTGAGTAATACGGTATAGGCCAACATTATAATCAACGGGGCTACCATAATTGCGAATGTAATTGAAGACTCACTTTTAAAAATTTCGCCATGGAGCATACGAATATTTTATTATTCCATTATGGAAGACTAAAATATATTTTGGGTAGGCAGAGTTTCGCGATAAGGTTTTAATAAAATTCACTAACTCAGCAACCTGCTAAAAATTACAGTAAATAATGCAACTGCATTCACAGTCAGATATTTCATACCAGCTACTCCGCTTTTACATCCGCACTTGGTTCCTGTCTTCCACTGTTTACACGAGCTACTGTATATACAGTTGTAAATCTTGAGTCCTTCTCGCTTTCCACTTTCCAGTGCTCCTTGAAGGTTGCCAGTGTTGTTGAAGCTGGTGGCCTCACCAGCAAAGAATACTCTACCAACTCGCGACTCCATTTTATCAAAGCAATCACGCTCCATGCCAAGTGTCCAGATGGCATACGATCCAAGAGTATACGGGTTCTGCGTCCAGTTTGAAACCAATATTGAATTAGGTAGTGGGACGTCGTACCGATTGAACATTGAGTCGAGGGTATTTTCCGCTTCCCTCATGATCTCTGTTTCCGTCAGAGATTCAACCCGACGAGCCTCGTCACCGGTCAAAATCGCCATCAACATATGTGTATCTTTCCCAAAAAGATCTACAAATTATACGAATTGTATTAGTAGGATACAGTGGACTATAAAAAGTATGAAGCTCATTATAAAATGTGGAGGCTAGAATTGTAAAATAATCAATCAATCAATCAATCAATCAATCAATCAATAATCTTTATTCATCCCACATGGGGCAGTTATATAAAACAAAAAGGACTGACACAAAAAATATACATACAAATTGACATGAAATACACAGTTTACATAAGATACATTAAAAGACCTAAACAGTAATGATATCTTAATTCATTATATTTCATTGCAAAACATATATAAATTTTAAAATCTATATATCTATCTATTTGATATCTTAAATGAGAGCTCAAAATCTTTTAAAAGTGGTCCAGGTGACGAAAGAAATATGATCATTTATGGTTATCAAAGGCTTATTGATTTAGAGTCATAGAAAATACATATGCCTACATTTATTTCTCTCCTCAACGAATTGTGGTTTATCTCCCCGAAGGGGGTCTTGGCTCCACGCCCCTCGCTGGCGCCACCCCTGGGATACCCTAATTAGGGAAATTTTTTTGGCTGCGAATAATCGAGAGAAATGCTGCAATTTAGATTGAAGTAGAATCGCAGTACCAGATTTCATGTTCAAATTCGATCAACGATGCGTTCATCAATGGAGGAAACAGTTTTCTAAGAACCTTTAATTTTATCATCATTTTACACTTACCTCCATGTGCAAAATTTAAAAATAGCGGCCACATGCCTTTACGATTACTAGAATGAACATTTGCGAACCACTCTTTATCGTATTCCTCACCGGCCCAGAACCTTCCGTTTCTTTCGTTATAATTTAAGAAAATTTTACTGTATGCTGCCATTTCAAATCTATTCAAATACATCAATCAAACACAATGTAAGAAACAAAACAAACATCGAAAATACATATTAAAGATCGATATTACAAGTAGGCTATACAGTATTAGGCTACCATGTGTATTTTTAAGTTCCAACATAAACGTATAATATGTACAAGGACAAATGACGCCATACTTTGTTAGATTTATCTGTGACTCTAATAGTGTATTTGGTAATGAAATTATTACAGTACGTATTTGAAATGCGTTGTGTATCATCATTATCATGAATTATCAGTTTTTGTACCGGTCACTGCTCTCGGAGTATTTCTTCCCTAGACCCCACAGACTTCCAGAATAACTTGACTGTGTGACGTGACTTACCATTCCCACCAACTTTTCCAAAGATATAGTCTTGGTATGAAAAAAATAAGTACTTTGTTGCACACCACCCCCAAAATTCATCCCCCATCCACCAGCTCGTCCGTCTTACCTATTCCAATAGGTGGTCTTCCATAATGGTAGTGCCGGTACGAATTCAATAAGATCACTTTGAAGCACACCTAAGCTGAATGTAACCAGGACATATTCCGCAGTATAACTTGTCCCGTCTCTACAGAACACTGTCACTTCTCTGTCGTTCGAATAGTCAATTCTCTCAACAACTTTATTGTACAGTATGTTGTCCCTGCAAACACATAACTTAAATCGTCATCGTTAAAAATAACAATAGAACCATCGCCTGTCGGCACTTTCATTACTAAGACTTTCCCATCTATATTGTTCATGTTTGTCTTTGTCATAATGCATATAAAAAGTAACTTTAAATTGTATGAGCCTTGGGATTATCGGTGGCGGTTGCAGAGGGTTACGAGTAGGGTACTCGCTTCCCTATCCCCACCTGGCAATGATGTAAAATCGTTTAGATATGAGTTTCAAGAAGCTGCAGTCCCCTATTGTGCATTACTATTTTCCATTTTTAGTTTTGATTGACTTCAGTGGCGTCGAGAGCCAGTAAGGGCCCCGGGGCAACGCCTAACATCCCCCCTTCACTTGGGACCCCCACTCGGCCGCTCCCCAAATTAAGTCTCCTGCTAAATCTGACAACAAAAGTTTTCATCCTGGCTTGGGCACGGGCGCTATGG